GAATTTAGGTAATTTTTAAACCATCTAAAATTGATACCCAAAAAAATTAGCAAACATCAATTTTTCCATCCTCTAATAATGGTGTAATTTAAAATCGGTCAAAACTGATGAAAGAAAAAAAAAAACTCACAAGCAGGCACTTAGTTGAATCTGAATGAGAGTTTGTGCCACAACTTTTCTTTATGGACAGTGACTATGAGAGAGAAATAGTTGAGAGATGGTAGACAAAAGAATTTTCTCCTCTTCAAATGATTCCTTCAACTCTCACGCGCACACCAACCTTTGCAATTCTTCAACCTTAATCACATCAAATATTAGGCAAAGAACTAGAATTGAGCCAGTTCAATCAGGTTTTCCTTACGTTTTCAAACCAAACCAAAACGAAAGGTTCTAGTTCGGTTCAGTTATATCTTCTTCAGAATAAACTAACCTTAATACCAAGCAACACATAATTCTTGCTACTTTTCTATTTTAGTTGTATATTTTTTGCATATGACAACGAACTATGCATTCTAGTAGAAAGTATGAGAAACAACCGTTGTACAACTTTTAAGATACTCATACTATATTTAATTAATAAGACATAACATTTTCATGTCTCTTTTACGATAAAAAAATATTTAGTAATAAACGTTCAAACTTATCAAAATTTAATCTCTATTCCCTCCTCCTCTTAACTTATTCATTATTAAACTTATGAATCAATATTTTATTGGAATATTTGAAGTGGGGGTAGGGTGAAGAAAGCAAAGAGATTATTTGTGGGGCATTGATTAGAATCTTAAAAGCAAAAAACTAATTGGTCTTTGGCTTTGATGATATATTAAGCAAGTTGGCAAGAAAGGTATCCCATTAAGTGGGACATCCTTCCTGTTCCAATATTTCACGCAATCAAATATTTTTATATATAATAGAACAACCCGGGCCCGCTTGGCATGGGCATCCACAATTCCTGTGTGGGGCCATGTGGATGAAATTGCGTCTGCTCAGGATGCAACTATAGCTAGGGATGGCAAAAAAACTCGTCGGCTCGGGCAGCTCAGGCTCCGCTCAAAAAAAGTTCGAACCGAACCTCATTTTTTAGGCCGGACTTTGCTCGGCTCGGGCCCAAAAAAGCTCGAGCCGAGCGCGAGTGTTTTTATTTAATTTATAATATATATCAATCGTACAAATTTTAAATTTTTTAAGTAAAAATATAGATCTTATATTTAAAAAAAAAAAACACGAATGGCTCGGTGCGGGCTTGGCTCGGCCCGCTAAGACTCCCCCCGTCGACTATGAGGTATGTAATAGATAAAAAAATGATCATTCAAATATTTGTGTAATTTTACATTTTCTACATACCTTCGTATAGATTTCATGGCATTCACATGTTTCCTCGATAAATTTTATTATTTATATCTCAAGTAAATCATAATTCCTTTACTTGTATACGGGAGCATGAAACACATTCTGTCACCATGATAAG